TTCTTCCTCTCTTTCTCTCTCTCTCACACACACACACACTTGACACACACACACAACTGCCTGCAGACAAAATTGTACACTTTCAACTTGAGAGCGCTGGAATGTTTATAATTTACTAACACAGGGTCGCGCCCAAGTCTTGCCCGGACGCGAGGTAGCGCAATTGAAACATCTATATTTTTGTCATAGAGGCCTATATATTTCTCATGCGTTGTTGCGTAATTGAGAATTTGTCGTTTGCCCTTACACTGGCGAGCTCTGAGCCAGAGCAGAGCTCAGTGTAAGGGAAAACGACGAATGGTCGGTTGGTCAAGGATCACTGCTGCTTCGTTTTCCTTCATCTCATGGGATGAAAATATTATAAATATGTCGCTGACTAAATCTAGCTTACTTTTAACCTAGCAGTGGACGCTCTCCCTATACGAAGCTTGAGTGCAGTGAACATAGTCCTGCCAACTACGTTCAGGCGCCCTAAACGTAGCCTGCAGACTACATTCACGGGGCCGTGAATCAGGCACCCGTCAATATCTGGGCATGTGAAGTTAGTGGAATCATCTGAAAGCTGATTTATTTGCCTTGCTTCCAATGAAAAAAACATCCATTTATCTTGAATAGAACTCAAGATTATATATATTTGCATTTGAAAGAAGTAAGGTTGTCTGGTTTGAGTGGTGAAATTAGCAAGACGGCCGCCAAGGTTTGGTTAACTCCAATAGCTAAAGAATTATTGAAAACTGAAAAATGACATATATATCTTTTGCGTTTTATCAATGTTTATCTGTAAAATTTACATGGAAATGTGTTTTTATATGGACATGAAAGAGGTCAAGCCAAAAACTAAAAATTCGATATAATTATACGTTTCCAAACTGGCACAAAAATGCCTGTTTCTCTGATTTCGTTATTTTGACGAGCGCCTGATTTCATCACGCTGCTTCACAAATTTTTCCTTTCGCACCCGTACGCAGATGCACTGTTTTGCTGAACAGAATACAACTATAATTCTTCACTTAAACCCTCCCTCACTAACCAATTGTTTTGAAGAAAATATTTAAGTGTCAAATTATGGCGATACAAAAATGCAGCCCCCCCTCCATGATTTATTTTCAGGGGTCACCCCCATCCTCCACGTAACCGCCCATGTTGAAAACGAGTGAAATAGATTACTAGTCAGTTAGTACATTGCAAACTTAAAAGTCAAGTGTCTTTTAAAGCTTTCACTTTAATCAATTCTTATTTTTCTTTTCACTTTCAGACAATGTCCAAGAGCAAGGGTTCTTATCTTTTTTCTCCAGTTTGCCAGAGGTGATTGTTCAAATTCAAACTATTGTGTGTAAAAAGTAGTGTTAATTTGAAAGAAAATAAAAACTTATTTTATTGTTTATGATTGTTGCACAATAAATAGTTTGAGCACGTATAGCTTTGAATTTTGCAGATTGTGTGCTCGTAATTTAAAAAGAATTTCTACTCCCCAAGTGAATTTTTTTAGATCAAAGGTAATTAAAACTGACAACTTGTGTTTATATCTTTAAATCTGTAATAATACACAATATAATGCTGGTTATGCTAAAAGTCATATATATTGTTTTTTAAATAAAAATGATTTAGAAAATTAATTTTGTAATAGACGTAGAAGTAGCTGAACAAAATTACCATCCTTTTTTTAAATTGTTGCTTTCAGAAACTTGGCACAACCCTGAGAGTGTTTGACAGAACGGTATGTGGCATATATGTATTTCTTCTGATTTGGCGTTCCCTATTTTGTTCCATAGTGGTGTTCTCTATTGTTATACACACGGGAACGACCATATTTAGTTTAACGGTAGGAAGTCTCTTGTAAGGCTGCAAAAATTACTCACATGAACTCTTAAAGACTGCTAGAGTTGTAGTCAAAATTGCACATACCCACTAACACAGATTTGTTTTAATGTACAGTGGAGACCTCTTAAACCGAACACAGTTAACTGGAAAACAGTGGTAAACTGATAGAAAATACACACCCTGACTTTTTTCTGCTGTTTCAGCAAACTCTCTAAACTGAAAACTCGGAAACACCAAAGAAAAACTGGGGGATCCTACAGATTTCAGTTTAAACCGTCTCCACTTTACAATTACTCTAAAGCAGTCTTGAGTTGCACCCTTGTTAAACCATCACCATTTTGTTTTGTGTGTGTGTTCATCATTGATTTGATAGTTAATCCTTCTTATAAGTACAGTCGAACCTGTGTAAGACGGAATCGCAAGGGAGCCAGAAAAAAATTCCGTCTTAAACAGGGGAGATGGAGGGGGGGGGGGGGGGGGGATTCAAATGCCCAGCCGGTGGGATCAAGGATCGCTAGTCCGATCAGCAAGCAGTGGTCAAAACTTCACACCTCTCAACTGCTATCCTGTCTGATAATGACATGCGTCAGTCTTACTTATCCAATTACCACCAGTGCTTGCCTTTCATAGGACCACTGTTTGACCTATTAAAAACAGAAACGTTTGAACATCCCCTTTGCTTCAACCCTTAGCCCCACCCATCGGTGTAACAAGCACAGTCAGCCAATGCCATCCCTCACTGCAATCATGTAACTACGATTCGAGGAACTCTTTTCTCGGCTGGCGTACGATCGGGGTGGCAAGCATTGGTCAAACTAATTTCACACCTCTGGCTTCTGGGTACCCAGGAATGTTTCCGTAGTGGCTCGCTACTCGAACCACTCTCACAGGCAGTCGTGAGATTTCACACCCACACTACACTGACCATCTGCATCGCTCTGGGCTCGCATGATGGGGTAACATCTACCTCCAAACTGCATGCACCCCTACTTCCCTTCCTCGCCTTGCGGCATGGCCATGGCGTTAAGTTTAGAGCCGGCGGAACCAAACTTGCGAGTTTTGTTTCAAATCAGGGCCGAGGGGGCAAAGCATTTTCCGTCTTAGACAGGTGAAACCATTGGAAGGGAGCGGATTTTTCTTTCTGTTTCCGCGTTGGACAGGTTTCCGTTTTATAAGGTAATTAAAGAGGAATAAATCAAGGGGGGAGCAGGGAGATTCCATTAAGACAGGTTTCTGTTAAGGCAGGATCGACTGTACTCTTATGTTTATAATGTGATGTGCATATCGTCATTGATTATGCTGTGATAGTATTATATCTATTTTTGTATTAGGTGTTGATCTGAAGAGCATATATATTTAATGTATGCCTTTTCATTCACTTTTGTTTTGGGTTTGAGATGAAGGTATTGTTAAGTGCCAAGAGCTATATTGTACAGGAGTGGGTGCTATTGAAGTTATCTGCATTTTTATTGTTATCAATTATTATTATTTAAATTTTCATTCATTTATTTATTATCCTGTCAGGACTACTACACGGTCCACGGGCAGGATGCTTTGTTCGTGGCCAAAGAAGTCTTCAAGACTTCAGGTGTCATTAAATTTATCGGAACAGGTGAGAATAGGAATAAGTTGTGTGTGTGTGTGGGGGGGGGGGGGGGGGGGGGGTTCTTTAATAATCCTCCTCCTTCCTGTGCAATTTAGAGGATTTTTATGTTAAAATATTAGATTTTTTATTTTATACCTGTTTAAACCTCTGGCATTTCTTCTTTAAGGCATATGTTATTTTTCAGGCAATCATGTTCTATCAAACATGTATCGTTTTTTTCTCTCCTCCTTTTTTAAAAATGTTACTTTCTAGTAACACTGTGTGACATATTTGGCTTTTATTTTATATAACCTTTTTGTTGCAAGTGCTGTAAAATACTTATTGAAACCAATGTTCTTTTTCAGGTTCCAAGAAGCTGGAGTCTGTTGTTCTCAGCCGCATGAACTTTGAGGCCTTGGCGAGAGATCTCCTGCTGGTGCGACAGTACAGGATCGAAGTCTACGGCAACAAGGCCGGGGGAAAGTCAAATGACTGGTCTCTCTCGTTCAAAGTGAGAACTGATTTCTCATAGTTTTGCGGCAGCCTGTTCGGAGTGTTCCTAGAATTCTGAACATCTTGAATGTTCTTCAAAACTTAGAATCAAGTGAACTCACAGAAAAAGAATTGTTGTGAAATAATATGCAAAGGAGAAACGGGGGAGAGAGAGAGAGAGAGAGAGAGAGAGAGAGAGAGAGGAGAAACGGGGGGGGGGGGGGGGGAGAGTCCTCAAGGTGAAGAAAGAATGGAGAAATATGAATGGCTTTTTTATTTTTGTTATGTAAGGCCTTTATCATATTTTTTATCTCAGAAACCTGTTGTTAGTTGTATTGTATTAGGTTAAATGTTTAATCAGGGTCTTTGATTGGTTTCAATCAAAAGTCATAAGTCCCTAGTTGATACAGTCATGGAGCTTGGAGGTAGAGGTTTCTTATGGAAAAATTCACACCCCTGACCCAAGACAAGCATGAAATAAGGCTCAACATGAAATAGTGGTGTTGACTGCCCTTGCTGTTGCATCAGCCATGGTAACTGAGATTTTTTTTGTTTCTTTTTGTAAAGTGTTTTACGGCGCTCGCAACTGCATAGGTCATATGAGCGCGCGGGACACTCCTAATATTTTCAGTTGGTAGGAAATTTTGAATTTTGCCCAGGTGGCGGCCGAAGCCTACTCTTATCGATTTTAGACCACCAAGGGATCTTTAACGTGCGCAACTTGCACACGGGCCCTCCGAGATTTTTCGCCCTTGTCCGAGAAGGCTAGGTGTAGATCTTTCCAACCAGAAGATCAGGGGTGTGGCAGAAAGACAGCAGTAAGGAGGAGCCAAGGAGTAGCAGTAGAAAGGCTGCAGAAAGAGCCAGGAGCCCAGAGGAGGAGGCAAAGGAGGTGAGGGGGTGGGGGCAGAAAGTGAAAATGAAAGCAGACAACAGAACATTGCTAGAGAGCAGGAAAGAGGTGAAAGGAGACAATTTTAGAGAAGAAAATTTTTCAGTCGCTCCCCCGATTCGAACCCGGGACCTTTGAATGAGAGGCCAACACCTTAACCTCTAGGCCACGAGAGCCCCCTAACTGAGATTGGGGGGGGTTGCATTGAACATTAAAATAAAGTGTAATTTTTATTCCTCTATCAGCACAGTTTAGATCATTTAGGAGGCAGACTTCTGCCCCTGCACGTCGGGGCCAGTCCAGGTTGAGAGGGATACAATATCCCAACAGGAACACCTAGATATGCTATTTAAAAAATTTCTTTCTATTCGGGTATCAAACTCGGGTCATCTGTGTGTGACAGCGAAAATCCTAACTGCTTCACAACAAATGCTGATGGGTTGCTTTGATCGCAGCTAGAAATGGGCAGTGGATGTGTAACTGTCATCTGGGAATTTAAAGTCCGTTGCATTTTATCTTCAACTTCGTCTGCCCCTGAAGATATCTATTTGGTAGAACACACCTCACATCTTTTATTTTTACTGTTTATGAATTTTCTGCTCTCCATTTTCACTTCAGGCATCACCAGGGAACCTCACACAATTTGAGGACATACTATTTGGCAACACAGAAATGTCTGCATCAGGCGGAGTGGTGGGCCTTAAGGTTGCCAGCGACGATGGCCAAACGGTGAGTTCTCTGCAGCTCGTTTAGGAAAATTTTGACTGCTTAGTGCAAGACTCTGTTGTATGCCATTTTGAAGAGTGACGTGTGACAGTTTTACAATGAGCAGCTAATTTGCAGTTGATTGGAACATAAAACTTGAAGACTACAGAACCACGGAGAGAAAAAGCGTTAATGTCACGTTTTCCTACAAACTGAACATTTTGATACGGAGAGTTCCTGTTTCTTTCATGTGTAAAGTTATTACAAGTTTTTTGTATTCTACTTCTGGGATATTCATGTTGTGGCTGTTTTAGCCATGCCTTTTTTGTCATCAGTGTGTTGTACAGTGGAGATTTGAAGAAAAGGACTGGTTTAGACATCACCAGTTCCAAAGGGGGATATTAACATGTTCTTATGCACAGTAGAATTGTAAATGGGCTGATTTATCCATGTCTTGCTCATACTGTGCCGGAACAATATAGGAGGAACAGCTGCTTTTTCTTTCCTCATCCTTACTGTCGTCATTTTTTTCTCTACTTCTTTTGTACGTTTGTCACTCTCTTGTGAATTGCTATTTCCGGGGTGCCTTGATAGTCGAAGCAGACTTTGTGCTGTTGAGGCTAGAGAGGTGAGTAGAGTAGGCCCGATTCCTCGTTTGGACTTCTCTATTGACATCCACCCCTTGGCGCTCATATGACCTTATGCAGTTGCGAGCGCCGTAAAACCTTACTAATAGTAAAACTAAAAGACAGCACTAGTTTTTTTCCCTGTAGTCTTTTGCACTTACATGACCTTATTGCCTTGTATATGCCATGATACTTTTATTTAGACTAAAATTGGTCTTCTTCCGAGCGCTTGATGCGGTATGAAAGATGTTGACTTGAAAACTTCTTTGAGATGCTCTTTGCTTGCCTGCAGGTTGTGGGAATCGGTTATGCTGACTCCATCCTCCGAACGTTTACGGTCAGCGAGTTCCCGGACAATGACCAGTTTTCTAACCTTGAGGTAAGTGCCCACTTGTTTTCTATCTCACTTTTTTAGTCTAGACTGAAATCTGAATGTGGGTAGTTGGCAGGTGTTCTAGTGTGGTTTGTTCCTTCTTTCCTATCAAAGTTCTATTGTTTTTAATTTCTCCTTCTTTTCTTTGGATGATACTCTTTAGTAACACCTCTAATCTTTGGCACTTAAATTGCCTATTTGTGTTGCAAGTGCTGTAAACTCTTAGCAAAACTGAAACTGACCCCCGAGGGAAAGGGACTGTCTATGTCTACTGTATAATGATTTTCATCTTGCATTGCTTTTCATTTCATTTTCCTCGCTGTCATCTTAAACAAATTCTCACGTCTGTCTACTAGAAGGTTGTATCCCTCTCAGCCCAGGTTGACTCTCACAGGCAGGGTCAGAAGCCCGCCTCCTAAATGATCTAAGTTGTGTCATGGGTGCGTCAAAAAGATTTACATGTAAAAAGAAATGTGTACATGCACTCTCTAGTAACACCTCTAATCTTCAGCACTAATGTTATGATCTATTTGTGTTGCAAATGCTGTTAAACTCATAGTAAACCTTAAATGGTCTATCAACTTATTTTATTATTATTATTATGTGTTTGGAGACTGGAATCAGGTGCTTGGTCAGTTTTTTAAGCATGTGAAGTTGTTGGTTTCATTTAAAAACTTGTTCATTTGCCTTGCTTTTGATGAGAAGAAATACCCATCCATCTTAAATAAAAGTCGCGATATTGGCAATTGCAGGAGATGGGGATCGCATGGTTTCAATATTAGTGAGAAAATGGATGTCAAAATTTGGTGACTTTCAAAGCTTTGAGAGTCCTTAGAAAATGCAAAATTTCTTTTTTGTGCCTTAGATTGACATTTTTCGGTTAAATTCACACAGTAATATATATGTTTTTACATTAACATAAAGGGTGTTGAGTCAGAAAATAAAAATTCAATAGAAATTGCCAAAGGGGTAGAAAATTACTAGTTTTTTAGATTTCATTTCTTTGACAAGTGTCTAGATTTCACCAGGATGTCTCACATTTTGTTGTTATTATATTATTATGTTGACCAGGCCCTGTTGGTACAGCTGGGAGCCAAGGAGTGTGTGCTGGCCGCTGGGGAGGCCGTCGGTGACACATCCAAGCTCAGACAGGTGCTCAACAGGAGTGGCCTGATGGTCACTGAGAGGAAAAAAGGTACTTCTCCTCCTCCCCCTTTCCCTCTCCTTCTTCTCCTCCTTCACCTCCTCCTCCTTCTCCTCACGAAAACCCAATGGCATCCCTCCCTTTGTTTTACTTCTCTAAAGGCCTTTTCCAGGTCTTGTGTTGTGCTGCTTAATTTGTGCCTCACTTTTTCCCCTCTGAGGGAGGGGGTGTAGTTTGACTGACTCATCATTATGTTCTGATTGTCAGTGTCCTTCTATAATTTATCATTTTATAAAGTGGAGTAAGTAAAACTGTCCTCCAAGAAAATTGATTGTCCAAACTAACACAATGTTGCATCACAGGCTTCATTATTTCTTTGTACTTTGCAGAGGTACCTTGCCTTTGGACAGGGGAATTTTGAAATAAATGGTAATTTCTTGGCATAGAAATAAGAATGATGTATTCTGCCAAGTTATAATGTCTCACTGAAAGTATTGTTTTATTTTCATCCATTGTTTTTACCAAAATTCTCTCATTGTTCTTTCTTTCAACAGTGGAGTTCAGCAACAAAGACATTGTTCAAGATCTGAACCGACTGCTCAAAGTTAAGAAAGGAGAAAAGCCAAACAGTGCAACTCTAGGTATGCTGCAGTTTGGGTTTTTTCTGTGTTTTGATTTTTGGTTGGTTTATTTATTTCCCTATTTTTTTCCAGTTGCAAACTAATTCTTTTTATCTGAGAATTGTTGAACCAATTTTGGGTGGTAGGAGAACGTATTTAATACATTTTTGATGGTCATATTAGTCTATTTTTGTCTTGTAAATTACATGTTCTGTTTTCTGGGATTGCTTCTCACAGGCTCTCCAAAGCTAAAGGGTGGTTGGCGGGAGCTCTGGTGTCGTTTGCTTCTTCTTTCCTATCAAACGTCTATCGTCCTTATCTCTCCTCCTTCTTTTTTGTTTTTGTTACTCTCTTTTAACGCCTCTAATCTTCGGAACTTATATGACCTTGTTGTGTTGCAAGTGCCGTAAAACTCTTACTAAAACTAAAGCCAAAGGAAAACTATGAACTTTCAAGAGTGGATTTGGGGCTAATTATATTTAGATCCAAGTCCCAAATTCTGATGTTGTGACTGTTACCATAATTACCAATTAAGCATGAATTTATTGAATGTAGAAAAATATAAATGTGTGTGAAGTTTGAAGGGGAGGGGGTTACTTGGTCATTGCCCACTATTTTGACCCGCACTGTGGGTAGAGTCTCTTCCCCCTTGATGTAATGTTGTTCATTATGTAATCTGGTGTATGTAATAACGTTGGGTTCCCTGATTGGAATTTTGAAAAATGACAAGGACAATCTTTATTCATCTCTCAGAGAGAAATTTGTCTTGGTCGTTTTCAATAGCTGTAGTGTTATAATGTCGGATGCACTCACACATATATACACAAGACAGGACATAATATACTTGTGTTACCTGCTGAAACATCCCTGTTCTGTAAACTCTCTCTCTCACTCTCTCTATCCCTCTCCCCTGTGTTTGAAAACATTTCTTTGTCATTTTCTCAGCTGAAGTGGACAAAACCATTGCGATGTGTGCCTTGTCGGCTGTAATCAAGTACCTTGAGGTGTGTGTGGTCATGTACAGCTCTCAAATGTTGACCTCTCTCAGGAAGCTGTAAACTGGTCTTTGTGGTGTTCCGGTTAGATTTTTTTAATGCCCCAATCGACACAATTTAGATCATTTAAGAGGCACGCTTCCGATCCTGTCTGTCAAGGCCAACCCAGGCTAAGAGAAATGCAACATCTCAGCAGAAATAAGAGAAAAATTCTTCTCAATCTGGAACTAGACTCAGGTCTACTGTGTGCGACAGCGAAGTGCCTAACCGCAACCCCACAGACCCTGGTCATCTTGGGGTGAGTGGGGTAGTGTCCCAGCGGATGTACTGAGGCATTTGATAAAATAACTTGCCCAAGTGGGACTTGAACCCTCATCTTTTGCATGCGACAGCAAAGAAGGTAATTTTTACATTAGAGACTGATAGGAATTGTCAGAAATAAAATGTAAACTGTTTCCAAGAAAAATGTCTTTGAGAATAATGTAATGTGCTTTGATAAATTTTAGTACCTCATTCAGATTTCTGTGAGTGAAATAATAGTAATTTTAATTGCATTTATGTAATGCATATCCATACTCTACAGCTTGCTCTATGTGCTTTACAACAATTATTGCCCCAGTAGACAATGGGGAACATTCTCGGCTGCCATGGGAAGCATAAGTGTAAGCCATGGATACAAGTGCTCTGGCACAAGTATTCTGACAAGATGTTTTGCTGTCTGTAGCTGGGTATCGATTCCACCTAGATGAAATGAACATTTCAGTAAAGTGCCTTTCCCAAAGACACAACTTGGGCCCCTGACGGGATTCGAACCCATGACCTTATGGTTGAGAGTCCAAGAGTTTAATCACTAGACCACCAACACCACTGTAAATAAGAAAGACTAGAAATCTTTAGTGTACTGGAACTCATGCAAGTCAGTTCTCCTTTCTCTTCTGCAGCTATTGTCCAACGAGGATAACTTTGGTCAGTTCCGACTTTCAACCTTTGACCTTAGTCTGTACATGAAACTGGACGCTGCGGCAGTACGAGCGCTCAATCTGTTACCTGCAGTTGGGGAAGGTACAACTTGAAGCTGCGTTTTAGGGTTAAGGCCATACCATGAAAAGTGACACACAGAACACAGGACCTGCTGCAAAAAGTCCAAGCAATGATACAGACATTATTCTTTCTGTTTTTCCTTCTTTTTTTCGTTAGAGGAAGGTTGCAGTTTACAGAAAAAGAATAAAGAAATGGCTCTATCACCAATAAGTTTTTCCCCAGCTAGTCACCAGCTATGCGTTACATGTGTCACTTTCCTTGGAATGGTCCATCATTGCATTATTGTTTTACCATGGTATTGTAGTGAAATGAGTCAATTAAAGTTGTCTTTTCTTTCTTTTCTCTTTTCTATCCTTGTTTCTTTTAAACTCATGGGTCGTTGGCGGGTGCTGTGGTGTGATTTGCTCCTTCTTTCTATCAAACTTCTGTTTGTTTGTATCTCTCCTTCTTTTCTTTGTATACCACTCTTTAATAAGTGAGTGGTTGTATGGTGCTCTGGTTTGGTTTGCTCCTTCTTTCTTATCAAACATCTATCGTTGTTATCTGCCCTCCTTCTTTGTTATTCATTACTCTCTTGTGACATCTCTAATCTTTGGCACGTAAATGATCTTATTGTGTTGCAAGTGCCATAAAACACTTACTAAAACAAAAATCTCTAGCAACTCCTAATCTTTGGCTCTTGTATGACCTATTAGTATTGCAAGTACGGTAAAACTCACTGAAACAAAACTTTTCAGTTCAAACTAAAACCTTTTGTTCTTTCTTCCACAGCCAATAAGAGTCAAAGTCTTCTTGGTCTCTTGAACAAATGTCGCACCCCACAAGGTCAGAGGTTACTGGGTCAGTGGGTCAAACAGCCTTTGTTGGACATACAGAGAATTGGTAAGCTTCACCAAAAACAGACGCAACAAAAGTGGGTGATAAGTGTTTGCTCTTGTATGGTTTGATCCTTCTTTTCTATCAATCACCTGTCATCATCCTTATTTCTTCTCATTCTTTTCTTTTTATGTTTCTCTCTCATAACACCTAATCTGACCTACTTGTGTTACGAGCTGTGTGCTCAGGGGACAAGGCTCTATATATGTGTGGGGCATGGTGGTGAAACCAGGCGCTTTTCAAAATTATGAAATTGAAAAAAACTGGCATTTTCTCGCCACTTGAGAAATTTTTTATAGAGTCTATAGTTTTTTGGCTCAACACCTTTTAGTGCCATTTAAAAATACATTTATGTGTGGATTTTACTGAAAAACGTCGATTAAAGGCACAAACAAATGTAAATTTCCGGTTTCAAAGGACTCTCAAGCTACCTAAGCCATCAAACTTTGGCAACCATTTTCTTGCTAATTTTACTTCTCACATCAGTTGATCCTCACCTCCTTCAATCACAAATGTCTGAACTTCTTTTCAAGACACATGGGTATTTTTTTGCCAAATGCAAGACAAATGAACAGTTTGCAAGATTATATTAATATCGCTATGTGTCCAAAAATTGACAAGCACATGGTTCCACAGCGTCGTGACACATGATCTGCATTATTCTAAAAGATTGAACAGAAGCTAGTTGGAGTTACTTTCCCTTCATTTTGACACGCTGAGGTTTACGATCTGCAAACGTTAAATGAGTGTCCTTCTCTGTCACACTATAATATTGTCTTTCAATTATTGGTTTTGGTTGTTTTTTTAATCCCCCGCTTATACCTTTTTAGGGGGTCGAGGGAAGAAAGAGACGTCTCTCTGTCGCCAGCCGGAGAGCTTGGGTCAGGGGAAGAAAGAGACGTCTCTCTGTCGCCAGCCGGAGAGCTTGGGTCAGGGGGATGCCGTGATTCGTTAGTGTAAAGTTGCCCCCAAAAAAGAATGTGTGCAATAATGTTTGACGTTTGAATTGATTGGTTTTTGCTGCCTTTTGTTTTTCTTGTGTATGTTAACGGGTTTTCTGGTGTGATTTGCTCCTTCTTTCCTGTGAAGCATGTATCGTCCTTATCTCTTCTCCTTCTTTTCTTTGTATGTAACTGTCTATTAAAACCTCTGCCTTTGGCTCTTATATGAGCTATTTGTGTTGCTAGTGTCATAAAATGGACACACTGTTTGGGTATATGCCTACTGTGTGATTGAGTTGTGCATCATTGAACATGAATGTAGTGAGTGCGTTTATGTGTAGATTTTGAATCTTTGTATGTTGATACTCTGGTATATTCACCAAAAATGTCCCATGTGGATCATTAAAGTTTATTTATCTTATCTTAAACTTTGACTTAAACTAAAACTTTCTTGTTTGCTTTTGTGTGCCATATGACATCAGAGCTACACTTTCCCCTCTGAGACCTAACACTGACAACACACTCTGTGGAACATTACACTTATCACAAAAAGGCATTTGACAAGGGCGATGGCCCAACTGCTACTGGATCAATAACAACAACAACAACATATATGACCTATTTGTATTCTCTGTGGAAATGTTTCAGAGGAGCGTCTGAATGTGGTGGAGTCCATGTTGGAAGACACGGAGCTCAGACAGACGCTGCATGACGATCAGCTGAAGAGAGTTCCTGACTTCCAGAGGCTGGCCAAAAAATTTCAGAGGAAGAGAGCAACTCTCCAGGTCAGTATTGTGGTTGTTCCTGTGCAGATCACATAGTCTCATATATCTGATTTTGTTCCTTTGTAATTGTCTATTTTGTGGAGTGCATAAGAGTTGCTGTTTTTAAATCTAGACCTTCCAGCGTAGATTTTAGTGGTTTTGCATATTGGTTGCCATGGGTTATCTTTATCTTGAAACTAAATGTCTGCAGAAAGATGGCAGGGTATAGTTAAGAAGATTGAGGCGTTTGGTTTTCCTTTCCTGTTCTTAATATTTTTCAGCCAAAATTCTTTGCCAAATTGGATTGCAAATAAGAACCACTGACTTTAAAAATACATTGATAAACCAGAAGAGCACTCTTGTTTTACATCCGTGGTTCAGGAATTAAGGTGCAATTTCTAAGTATTAAAAAAGTTAGGATTTTTTAAAAGTCTTTATTTTTCTTTATCGAGAAAATGTTTTCCTTTTGGTTACCTCATAGACAGGAATCCTCTGTGTCTGGGTTTTTCTTGGTTTTGAAAAGTTGGCCGCTATGCTAATGGTTCGGCGGGTGGTTGGAGGACGCCATTGGTTGGTTCTACTTCTTTACTTTTCCTCTGTCTTTTCTGTCTGTCTGTCTTACTTTTCCCTAGCACTAATTGACCATTATTGTGTCCGTGTGCTTCTCTTTACTCAAAAAAAAGAGCTGATGGTTTGTTGTACATTGGACAGGACTGTTACCGGGTGTACCAAGCTCTGGACAAAATGCCGCTGCTGCTGGAGACCCTGGAGAAAAGTGAGGGGAAACATCGGGCGCTGCTCATGGAGATGTTTAGTAATCCTGTCAAGGTAGGTGCTGGTTTTACTCACATACACACGCACGCGCGTGTGCTTACACACACACACACACACACACACACACACAGTCAGGGGAAACATCGGGTGCTGCTCATGGAGATGTTTAGTAGTCCTATCAAGGTGGGTGCTGGCGCTACTCACATATGCACGCACACGCGCGCGCACGCTTACACTCACTCACTCACACACTCACTCACACACACACAGTGAGGGGAAACATCAGGCGCTGCTCATGGAGGTGTTTAGTAATCCTATCAACGTGGGTGCTGGTTCTACTCACATACGCACACGTGCGCGCGCGCATACACACACACACACAGTGAATATTTATTGCTATTCGTGGAGGTGTTAAGTAAATTCATCAAGGTGAGTGCTGGTACTACACACACGCACACTCACACACACCCATATATACATTTACAAATACATGCACTCACTCACAAACACACACATGTACAAATACACAGTGATGGGAAACATCTGGCTCTGCTCATGGGGGTGTTTCGTAACCCCATCAAGGTGAGTGCTGGATACACATACACATATACACACATACATGCACACACACAATGTACACACAGCTCAAAGAGGTATTTAGCAATCCCATCAAGGTGGTTACTTGATCAACAGTTTATCCTTTTGATTCTGTTGTTTCTGACTGTCTTTCCCTGCACTAAATGGCTGTTTTTGTGCCGATATGCTTCTCTTTATTGATACAAACTCTGAAGTATTACTGATGGGCAAACATATATGTTTGTTTTTCGACGAGTTACTGACACATGTTGGTTTTTCCAGGAGTTACTGACATGTTGTTGACACATATAGGAGATACTGACACATATGTTTGCTTTCCCAGGAGTTACTGACCCGTATGTTTGTTTTTCCAGGAGTTACTGCTAGATTTTGCCAAATACCAGGAGATGGTGGAGACGACGGTGGACATGGAGCAGATTCAACAACACGAGTTTGTCATACGCGCAGATTTTGACGATAATCTCACAGGTGACTTGATTGTGTGTGTGCTTGCGTGCGTGCTTGGAGACGACAGCACGTAGCGGTCTCTGTCTGAAGAATAATCTGTAACTCCAATGTTTGTTTGATCTCTTTGTCGAGCAGGATTGAAGATTTTATGTCTATTGTTGTGCAAATGAAGACCAAGTTCTATTAACTGAAACCCCAGATCAAACACTATTTGGTACAAATTGAGTCAGGGTGCCTGGTTGTAGTAATTTAAAAACGGAGTCTTTGCGTGGGTATTTATGGCTACAACATAACTCATTTTCTGATGTCTCCAGAATGACATCTTCGTGTTCTTATGTTTGTCGATTTGGAAAAATGGACAAATTTTGACAGTTTCTGAGTTGACCCATGAACATTCCAGCACTGTTCAGTTGTCTTTTGTTTCTTTGTGTGCAGAACTGAGGAACAAAATGGACGAGCTGGAGAAGGAGATCAAGGGACAGCTGAACAAGGTAAAACATCTCGCTATCTCAGAATTACAAAGTCCTAACATTTTTGGCTGTTTTGAGTCAGAATTACAAAGTTCTGTCTAACATTTTTGGCTGTTTTGAGTCACTGAGAGGTCAGAAACCAAATGGTCTACCTGCTCTATCAATATCGTGAGATTATTCGGAGTCGTTGTCAAATATTCAAAGAATTGCATTAAAAAAACCTTGATATGATGTGAAACTCAAAGTCTTTGATGTCAAATTTCTCAACACTCGGTACATAGCCGATAGAGCTTTGTAATTCTCAGGTAGCGAATATTTTTTTTCCTTTCCGATGTAATTTGCCCAGTCTTAAAAGTACAAATCTGTGGTTTGACAGTCTATGTTCTGATATATCTTTGGTTTCCCAGGAAATGCTGCTGAACTTGTGTCTTATTTTTAGAAGCTTCATGTACAACTGCAGTTGAAATTGTCTTAGACAGCCACCCGTTGTTGAGGAGAAAAATGGTTGTCTTAAGTGGAATATCTTACACAGTGTAGTGTCATTATGATGTGGGGAAAAAATGCAAGGGGGGGGGGAAAAGGGAATTGGCCATTTGTACAGGTGATCATAAACTTTGTGACTAGATTATATAGAGAAGTTGGGCAAACAAATAGGGATGTTGGAAGAGTGGATTCTGTGTCAGTTTTTAAATTAATTATTTATTTGGGGGGGATGGATGTGATAATAGTCTTGTAGAGGATATTGTATGTGTGGGCATTCTCTCTTACATGTCCTCTCTTGTTTGGTCAAATTGATTTTGCTGGCTCCAGAGACAAAAAGAGTGGGTGGTTGGCGGGTGCTCTGGTGTGGTTTGCGTCTTCTTTCCTATCAAACATCTATCGTCCTTATCTCCCCTCCTTCTTTTTTATGTTTGTTACTCTCTTGTAACACCTCTAATCTTCTGGCGCTCATATGACCTTATGCAGTTGCGAGCGCCGTAAAACCTCTACTAAAACGAACAAAGACAAAAAGATAATAAGCCGGCAGGCAAAATGGTAAAAACTTTATCAGTTTACCTACTGTGCAAGAATGTCATGTTTTCGTTATCAAGTACCTCGGTCTTTCTGCTGGGATGTTGTATCCGTCTCAGCCCGGGTTGGCCCTGACAGGTGGGGTTGTCAGCCTGCCTCCTAAATTATCTAAATTGGGTCAATGGGGGCGTAAAAACACCTACAGTAAAAAATTTTTTTTTTTTTTTTAAATTTCTGTTGTTTTGTTTCTTCAGGTGGCCAGAGATCTGAACCTAGAACCTAACAAAACTCTCAAGTTGGAAAGTAACAACCAGCTGGGATATTTCTTCAGAGTCACAAGAAAGGTAGGAGCCTGGAGTTTAAATAAAAGGTCCTTATGATGTTTGATGCATGAGTGGAAGATTTTGTCTTGTAAAGAACTTGTGTAGAAAGTGAAAGGGATGTGAATTCCATACCCTTCCCACAGATGAGGTCTTCTGTCATGGAATGTCTAGCTATTATGTATGACCATTTAGACATTTTAAATGTTTGGACGCTTGTTTATATGTGCAAGGGAGACCAGAACTAGAAAAGAACAAACTGCTCTGCCCTTAACCTAAAGTGGCAATGCTGTGGATGTGTATTTTGTAGACATTGTTTTGAGGGAAGTGAGTTTGTTTTTCAAACACTGTAGGTGGGTGGTTGGCTGGTGCTCTAGTATGGTTTGCTCTTTATTTTCTTTCAAACATGTATCGTCCTCATCGGTCTTTTTTTTTGTGTGTGTGTGTGTTACCGTCTACCAACACCTAATCTTCTTCAAGTATATTTTGTTTTTGTAAAGTGTTTTATGGCGCTCGCAACTGCATAAGGTCATATGAGCGCGCGGGACACACCTAATATTTTCAGTTGGTAGGAAATTTTGAATTTTGCCCGTGTGGCAGCCGAAGCCTACTCTTATCGATTTTAGACCACCAAGGGATCTTTAACGTGCGCAACTTGCACACGGGACTTCCGAGATTTTTCGCCCTTGTCCGAGAAGGCTAGGTGTAGATCTTTCCTACCAGAAGATCAGGGGTGTGGCAGAAAGACAGCAGTAAGGAGGAGCCAAGGAGTAGCAGTAGAAAGGCTGCAGAAAGAATCAGGGGCCCAGAGGAGGGGGCAAAGGAGGTGAGGGGGTGGGGGCAGAAAGTGGAAATGAAAGCAGACAACAGAATATTGCTAGAGAGCAGGAAAGAAGGTGAAAGGAAACAATTTTAGAGATTAAAATTTTTCGGTCGCTACCCGGATTCGAACCTGGGACCTTTTGAATGAGAGGCCAACACCTTAACCTCTAGGCCACGAGAGCCTACTTCAAGTATATGACCTAATTGTGTCGCATATGCTGTAAAACACATACTAAGCCAAAAACACACTCTGGTCTCACATACTTCGTCTCCTCCACAGTCTTCTCTGTCCTTCTCATTAGCTTCTCTTTCTTTTTTTTTGTGTTTATGTGCTTCTCTCTTAAATGTGTTTATAAGTACAGTCGAAATTGTTTAAGTCGGCCACCCCATTGTTCAAGAGACGGGTGAATTTCTTACACATTCAGTGTCACTATAATGTTTTTTTTTTTAATGAATTAAGGTAAGTGGAAAGTGACGGGTTATTGTCTTATACAGGGCGGCTGTTAGAGTAGGCTCGTCTGTATAATGTTTGCGGGTACTGTGGTATGGTTTGGTCCTTCTTTCCTATCGGACGTCTTTGGCCCTGATCTCTCCTCCCTCTTCTTTTGTGTTTGTTACTCTCTTGTAACACCTCTAATGTTTGGCACTTATATGGCCTTATTGTGTTGCAATTGCCGTAAAATGCTTATTTTAAAAAACTAAATAGCATGTTGTTTCCTGCCACAGGAAGAGAAAGCGCTGAGGAACAACAAGAAGTACCATACCATCGATACCAACAAAAACGGTGTGCGCTTCCACAACTCATCCGTGCGACAGCTCAATGATGAGTACCAGCAGGCGCGGGAGGATTACAACGAGCAGCAGAAGAGTGTGGTGGCAGAAGTCATCAATATCGCAGGTATACAACACTCGCTACACTTCTCTTCTTTTTTACTTACTCACCAGTGTACAATGTCTTTGATGTAGTAGCCAGGCATTTCGCTCACGCATGCGTGCAGGAGATCATAGTTTGATTCCTGAGCTGGGAGAAATTTTTATAGTGTCTCGGCTCTTTCTGATGTTGTATTCCTTTCAGTCCCGTTTGGGTTGTTCAGGTCTCCTCCTGAATGATCTACATTGTGTCGATGGGGGCGTAAAACACATACATAAAAAATTTTTTAAACCCCAAAACTCACCAGTGTTGGTAATGTAATGGTTAGGCTATTCACCACTCGAGGCAAAAGATGTGAGCTTGATTCCCATCGGGGAAGTCCATTTCATCAAATTTTTCCATCTCTCTGCTGTGACATTATTTCTCACTCAGCACAGGCTGGCTCTAACATGCAGGTTGGAAGCTGCCTGCCTCCTAAATCAAGTGTTATGCCAATTGGGACTTAAAACAAGAGCAGCTACGCGCGCACGCACACACACACTTGTTTGCTTTTGGAGTTCACTTCTACTATTTTTCACTGGGGGGTTTTCTGTCCCAATCAGCTTCACGGCAAAATGTGCTGACTTACGATAAACTACACCTTAAGTCAGGGACAGTAATACAGTCTAATACACGCACATAGCAGAACACACATGGCGAACTGATTTTCATGTCTCAAATTTTGTCTTGAACTTCTATTCTCTCTCTTTGTTTTGCAAACATGTACATAGCAAATTTCGTATGCAACAAAAAGATTTCTGCATCCCGCCAATTTTGCTACGTGCATTCTAGACTGTATATCTTCAATGCTCAGTGGTTATCCTTGTCCCTGTGGGTTGTTGGAGGGTGTTTTGATGTGGTGTTCTCCCTCTTTCCTATGAAACATGTTTCATCCTTATCTCCCCCCATCCCCCCTCCCATTTTTTGTGTATGTTACTCTCATGTGTCACTCTAAACTTTGACCCTTATATTACCTTATTGTGTTGCAAGTGATGTAAAACTCTTACTAAAACAACGGACCTTGTTGTCCCTGGTGTGCCCCACAGCCGGCTACGTGGAGCCCATGTGTATGCTCAACGACATTGTGGCCCAGCTGGACGTCCTGGTCTCCTTCTCCATCGCTTCCTCCGGTGCTCCCATCCCTTATGTCAGGCCAAAGCTGCTTCCTAAAGGTCAGTCAGTTTTTAAAAAATATGATAATGTGATGCAGTGGGTTTGTGTTTTTATCATGTCGTTACCAGAGAACTATCAAGTTCTATCTGACATTTTTGGCTTTTTTGAGTTGCTAACACCATATGGTCAGAAGCCAAATGTTCTGTCCGCCGTATCAAAATTGTGAGATTATTCAGAGTCGTTATCAAGAAATCCATAGAATTGCTTTCGAAATAGCTTGACATATTGTGATACTGAAAAATATTTATGTCAGATTTCTCAAAACTAGATATTGAGCGGATAGAATTGTGTAATTCTAAGGTAAGGATGTGTGTGTTGGAGTTGGTTTGAATATCTGTAACAATGTTTTGAAGTGGATTTGTATTTTTGCTTCTGGCAATGCATCAGAATTTTGAAATGACATATTTCTGATGTTTCATTTGTTTACTCAGTGTAAATATGATTTTTAATTGTGTATGATTGGCTCCTTATTATCCCTCCTTTTTGGTGTTCGTTACTCTCTTGAACTTTACTTTTACTTTTATCCGCCGCTTATGTCCTTGTTACTCTCTTGTAAACCTTTAATTTTCTGTGCTTACAATAAGCCTATCTGAACTTATTGTGATACAAGTGCCATAAAACTCTTACTCAAATATTATTTTCTGGCACAAATACAGCAACTTCATTCCTTTGATACACTAATGCTGAAAAGCTTGTGCAGACTTAAAAAATCCAGCTAGTGATTTCTTTGTCCGTCTTGGATGTCAACATTTACTTTTTCTCAGACTTTAATGTGTTGTGGGTGTAAGATATACCCAGGGGATATGCTTGTTAAAGTTTTTTAATCCAGCAGTATATGTATAACTGTTGCAGTCTCTTCCCCCCTCCCCCTCCCCCGAACTTTACAATTTGTTGCAACTTTGTATCACTTGTTTTCTTTCCATCAATCTATTATTGTAGGAGATGGCATTCTGAGACTCACAGAAATTCGACATCCATGTTTGGAAATGCAAGATGACGTTTCTTTCATCTCCAATGATGCTACTTTTGAAAAAGGTAATTACCCTTGAAGTCTTGTGATGGGATGTTTAAGTTCTGGTTCAAACAACTCTCGGTGTGGGTGATTGACTGGTGCTGTTGCGGGGTTTGCCCTTCTTCTTTTCTATCAACCATCTGTGGGCGATATTTCTCCTCTTACTTTTCTTTGTGCGTGACTCTCAAGTAACACCTCATATCTTTGGTGCTCATATGACCTATTTGTGTTTCAAGTGCTGTCAAACCCTTTACTAAAACTATTTATGCATTTATGAACTTGAATTTTATCTATCTTTAGCTTTGTTTTTATTTTTTATTAAGGTTCAAGTTTTCGTCTGCCTAAAAGTTTGTGGGTGGTCAGAGGGTGCCACTGGTAGGTCCTGCTTCTTTTCTTTCTCTCTGTTGTTTTGTCTATTTTGCTTTTCCATGCAGTAAATGGCTTTTATTGACTCTCCCCCCACCCCCAATCCTCAAGTTTTGATGGGATTTTTTTTTTTTTCCCTTTTCCCCAGATTCCCAAATGTTTCACATAATCACAGGTCCCAACATGGGAGGAAAATCTACATACATCAGATCTGTGAGTACTAGTTAACACTTTGCCATCATATTTTGGGGAAAATCCAAAGAAACTGAGTGGTAAACATGGCCAATCGGCGAGATGAGGTGGCAAAGTGTTAAAGTAAGCTTTATGTGGTTGGCAGGTGCTCTGGTTTAGTTTGCTCCTTTTTTACCAAGTGATGATACCTGCTCTTTGTATGTTGCTACCTAATAACACCTGTAATCCCGGGCATTTATATGACCTTATTGTGTTGCAAGTGCTGTAAACTCTGGCCTGGTGTCAGAGGTAAATTTGGCGAGGCTATGGCTGCCGAAGTTAGGTGACCTTCAAACCTTGTAGTGCCCTTGGAAACTGCAAATTAAACTTTTGCGGTAAAATCTACTAACGTTTTTGAATGGACATAAAAGTTGTTGTGGAACGCACACACACATGGAAAAAGTGGAAAAAAATTGCTCAGTGCACCGGTAAGGAAAATATCGTTTTCTTCGAATTCATTATTTTGAGGAATGCCTGATTTGACCACACTAACTCACAAATTTATGTGTGGTTTTTCCAGGTGGGAGTGGCTGTGCTGATGGCCCAGATTGGGTGCTATGTGCCGTGTTCCAGCGCAGAGATTTCCGTCACTGACAGCATCCTGGCGCGTGTTGGTGCAGGAGACTCACAGCTCAAGGGCGTGTCTACCTTCATGGCTGAGATGTTGGAAACCGCCTCCATTCTCAGGGTGAGTCGCTCAGAAGCTTGAAGAAAAATATATTGAAATATTTCTTCTTTGTAGTCTATTACTGTGTGTTGTTTTTTTTTACTTGTTGTTGGGTCCCCCCCTTTTGAAGTTACAAACAACAGCTTCTGTTCTTAAGGTGAGTTTGCCAGGAGTCTAAAGGAAATAAAAATATCAGAAACATTATTTCTTTGTTGTGTTTAATGACTTTTTGTAAAACAAGTAGTAGGTCTGGTATTTTTGCTGAGATGTTGTATGTTTCTTAGTCTGGGCACGGTCAGAAGCCCACTCTAAAAATGATGTAAATTATGTTGATGGGGGGGTAACTCATTCGCTACGCCGAGCCGTGGGGGGCGGCGCGGCTAAAGTGCCGTCAATACGCTAAGCCGCCCCCGGCGGCTCGAGAACCGACGTTCAATTTTAGCTTGGTTTCTATTCCAATCCACATATCCATGTTAAAATAAAGGTCATAATATAAAGTTGACTTCCGGGTCAAGCGTTTCCACCGAAAATCGGAAGTTTTGATTCAGTTTTGAAACACGATTTCGAAGTTTATGCGACATTGTTTTATCGCGAAGCCCAAATTATAGCCAGACACCAGTCTTAGTACTTTTACACAACAAAATGTATCATTATTTTGCTCACTAAATAAATGTAGGACTCTTCTTTATAATATTGATACTACTGGACTCAAATTGCCAGTGCACTGTAATTGAGAAATCAATATTTTTGAGTGCTAGATCTGGGCCTAGATCTAAATAGTCAAAATATTTTTTTTCTCCCCAAAATCACTACTTTTTGGTGAAATTACTCAAAAAGTACCACCCAAGACATGTATGGGTTTATTCCAAATTCAATTCTGAATAATTTCATATAAGATACGAGTGTTTTTTTCTGTTTGGAATCCTTTTTTCAAAATTATTAAAGAATTATTTTTTTTTCAATATCGGAGGTTATGATCCAAATGTACAAATATTATGGAATGTATGTAAACACATCGGTCACCTACCAGCTCGCACCCCTTTTATCTCATCAAAACATCTCCATGGACACAAAGAGACAGCTTATCACCTCAATATTCATACCAACATTATGTTATCAGTGCCAGACCTGGACCTCAAACAAAACCCATGAAAGCAAAATCACGCATGCGAAATGAAATTTCTCCGCAAAACCCTTAACATCACAAGACGAGATAGGCAGAGAAATGAAGAAGTAAGAGCAGCTATCGGCACTGAGTCCTGCCTGCGTTACATAGAAAGACAGAGAATAAAATGGTTTGGCCACCTGTTACGCATGTCACCTGACCAGCCAGCCTTGAGAGCCTACTACACCAAGCACTCAGGCTATAACGGAAGAGGAAGGCCACGCAAAAGGTGGATCGAGGGTATCAAGGAAACCCTAAGAAAACATAACATCACAACTGAAAGAGCTGCGGAGCTGGCCTACCATAGAAAACTGCATCTCCCCTCGACGCTTAACGGCAACAGAGGATGAAAAAGGAAAAGTAGTAGTAGTATGTAAATAACTGCTCATTTTTCAATATTTTCCTGTTCTATATACAATTATGGTTATTTTGAGGTATAATTTGACTAGGTGCAAACATATTTTTTGAGTTTCATCTGAGATTATTAATTTTTTGTTTTCAAATTTTATCCGCAGCCAATCACAATTGTGTTGCATAATCGCCTCTTACATGAACCAAAGTTGAAAAATACTCAAATAAACAATACAGATGTGTTCTATAAACCATACTGAAAATGTTGGTATGTAATAAGTTGATATTTATTTGAATTTATGGCCCCCAAGACCTGTGAACTGCACACTAGTCATCATCTCATTTCGCCCTCCCGAAAAAAAATTTGTCCACAAGCCGAAAATAATACGTAGCGAATGAGTTAAACACATAGATTTGCTTTTTGTTTGTTTGGGGTTGGGGTTGTTTTTTTTTTTTCAAAAAATTTTTTTTCTTTTTAGATTAAACATTTGTTTTCCTCCTCTTTTGCCTTTTGTCCAGAGTGCGAGCCCTGACTCCCTTATCATCATTGACGAGCTGGGCCGAGGGACATCCACCTACGACGGCTTTGGTCTGGCCTGGGCCATCTCTGAGTAAGACAACTTGGTTTTTTTGGGTTTTTTTACATCATGTGTTGATGTTGAAAGGGATATTGAACATATTCCATCAGTTGGCGTGTGCTCTGGTGTGGTTTACTCCTTCTTTCCTATCAAACATTTATGGTCCTTATCTTTTTCTTTGTTATTCTCTAGTAATGTCTCTTCTGTGATGTCAATGGTATGGCACAAAGCTAAAAATAACACATTTTCATGACGTACCAGGTGCGTCATTGGGCATCCAAGGGGTTAATTAATCATTTTGGTGTGTATGTGTGTGTGTGTGGCGTGTTCAGTTGAAGAGATAAAGATTTGAAAGGAGGAAGAGATAGAGAAATCAATTATTGTGTAAAAGTGTCAAATGCAGCTACAGTCGAATACACACACAGCAAAACATGCACATAGCAAACACCCACAGTGAATAGATTTTCTGGTCCAGATTTTTTTTCTTGTACGTGTTATTCTTTGTGATTAGAAAAGGCGCATAGTGAAATTGGCACGTAATGAAAAGATTTCTGCGTCTGACTAATTTTGCTATTATGTGTGTACAGTCCATGCCAGCTTTAAGCACGCTCATCGGGAGAAAGCATAAGCGTGCTTAATGCCAAAGCGTGCTTGAGTGTAAAGTAGACATAATCCAGAGATTTTCTTGTAGAAAATTTCTCGTGCTATTTCCCTTTGTTTGTAAGTAGGCCTATAGCTGTCCCGCAAAAGTGTGCACTGTTATTTTTACCCGCCATGGTAGCTTTTGTTTGCTTGTTTGTTTTTGTTTTGTGGTCGAATGGGAAATGAAAACTTAATTTAGACGGCCAGTCACGATACAGCACACTAGGCCTACACACTGCCAGTGCATACCACTGCCCGCTGTACCAGGTTCATACCACCGCCTTCGTCCCACCTCGCGCGTGATACACAATCAGGATTAATGGATAGCGAGGGTCTAAGGTGAAATCGCAGCCAGCCTCCCTTTCTCGTCTCCCTGACTCTCTTTGTATTTTTAGGTGCTCTGGTGTGGTTTGCTTCTTCTTTCCTATCAAACATCTATCATCCTTATCTCCCCTTCTTCTTTTTTATGTTTGTTACTCTGTTGTAACACCTCTAATCTTCTGGCGCTCATATGACCTTAAGCTGTTGCGAGTGCCGTAAAACCTCTACTAAATTAAATTAGTCTGTGTGTAGCTTTGCCGTAGGCTAGATCCTATGTCTGCGTGCATCTCTCTGCCTTCCTCTCCGTGTGTGTGAGTGTGTGCCTCCATCACTTGTGTTCTTTATGTTTCTCTTAACACACTCCACTGCTGCAGTGTAGACAGTGTTCGAACTTCGATGGGTTATTATAAAAGTATTGGCTGTCTTGTAATGAAGGGTGCCTGAAGCCGAAGTTACCGTGCTTAAAGGCATGTAATTTATATAGCGAAAATTCGGCAAGAGCCGTTTAGCATGCTTGAGTTCGAAATGTGCTTTAAGCTGGCGTGCTTAAAGCCAGCACGGACTGTACAGTGGAATCCTGTTATAACGAGAGGGATGGGACTGGTGTCAAATGTCCGTTATAGCAAGATTCTCGTTATAATGGATCCAGTAATAAATTCAAGGGAAATAGTAAAATGCTAGCGATATTGACAGCTCGGCGTTGGCGATCAGAAAGAAAGTTCTCTAGGCTAACTCGCCCTCTGTGTTGTCCCCCACCCCACCACACCCTTTGGTGCGTTCCATCTGCTTGCACACAATGGGAACATATCCCGCCCACGTCACATGTTCGCTCTGTCCATCACAGTGCAGCACAATGACCTCTCCATCCCCGCGTCGGAGAAGTGAGAGGCATGATAGGCCTAGATAATCTAGACTAGGGTGGCCTATCACATTATGCGTTCTGCTTGTCTGTGCATGCCACACTCTCCCCACTCATTCAATCCGGCCTTCATTGTTGGCACTCGTGGGCTCTCCCATTCTTAGTTTCGCAAGATAACCAGCAAGTTCCTCAACTGGCGAGGTTTTACATGAATAAATGGCATATGTGCTGTGCACAGCAGCAGATATATTCCGGTATAACCGACTCGGATGTTTGTCTGATTGCGTTATATTAGTATTTTATTTACAAAGATAAAGAAGGGAAAAAACGGGGTTTTAGAAAAGTGTCTTTATAACAGACTTTTCGTTATCTCAGGACTCGTTATAAGTGGATTCCACTGTACTAAATTGTAGTTTTGTTCTTGGGGTATACCAAAAAAAATTTATTTTATTATTATTATTTTTTTTCCCTCTCACTTTGTGCTCAGACATATCTCCATAAAGATCAAGTGCTTCTGTGTGTTTGCCACACACTTCCACGAGCTGACAGCTTTGGCTGACGTTGTACCAACGGTGAACAACTTGCACGTCACAGCTCTCACCACTGACGACACTCTCACACTTCTCTATAGAGTCAAGCCAGGTATTGGTTTTGGGTTTTGTTTTTGTTTTATTTTATTTTTTATGAAGATTATTTTTTTCTTTTTATAGTTTATAATGTATGTGTTTTTATGCCCCCATTGACGCAATTTGGATCATTTAAGAGGCAGGCTTCTGGCCCTGCCTATCAGGGCCAACCTGTAATTAGACACAACATCCCATCAGAAAGACTGAGTTACTCTATAAAAGATGATTCCCCACACTGGTTTGAACTCATTTCCTGTGTGCAACTGTGAATCTCCCTACCACAACACCAGAGACATTGGTCTCCTCACCGTGTACATGTGGACTTTCGCATCGTCTTTTTGATCAAATACAAAACAGTGATAAAATAGTTAGCTTAGACCAGACATTCAAGATGAGAGAGGTTGAAACCCCAGACTTTTAGTCAGTGTCAAGTAGACTTGGGCAGTACATAACAAACTTACTTACTTACTACCTGTTACGCCATCTTGGGTTTAGGGCAGCAACAAAGGATCTCCAGCTCTGTCTGTTTTGGGCCGTCTTGGTCAACGTCCCCCACGAATGGTTCCAGGACTTAATGTCAGACTCTACTGTGCGTCTCCAGGTCACTTTGGGTCTGCCCCTCTTGCGATGTCCTTCTGGTGTCCAGTGGAGGGCAGTCTTCACAATAGAGTCTGGTTCTCTTCTCAGAACATGCTCAATCCATCTCCTTCTTTACATAACAAACAGTAAGAGATAAAGTGGAACCAGTTCGAGATATTCACCCTTTGCAGAGGAGAATGTGTCATCTGAAACTGGTGGTCCAAGTGGACAGTGTCATGCGGGGAAAAAATGGGGGGGTATTTTTTATTGTCTTAGACAGATGGCCTCTAGAGGATGTTTCATTGTAGTGACATTCTGTTCTGAGGGTATGTGTGTGTTTGCATTGTTATGTTAGTGTTCAGTCAAAGCTGCTCAAATGGCCAAAAAACCCTGGGGCGGTGCCACTGACTGAAGTGTCTTTAGACCATTCCCAAAGGGGGGACATTTCTCATTCTTATGCACCATAGAATTGTAAATGGGTTGGTCGAACAATGTCATGCTCATAACTGTGCCTGAAATACAACAGGGAACTGCTGCTTTTTCTTTCCTAATCCTTACTATCGTCATTTTACTCTACTTCTTTTGTATGTTTGTCACACTCTTGTGACCGGCTATTTCCGGGATGCCTTCATAGTCGAAGCAGACTTTGTGCTGATGAAGCTAGAGAGGTGAACAGAGTAAGACTTCTCTGTTGACATCCACCCCTTGGCGCTCATATGACCTTGCGCAGTTGAGAGCGCCCGTAAAATCTCTACTAAAACAAAAACAAAATGGCCAAATCACCTGTACAAACGGTCATTATTTCCTCCCTTGGTTTTTTTTTTAAAACCATTACTGGTATAATGACTTTGCATAAGACTGACATTTTTCTCTTCAACCATGGGTGGCTGTCTTAGACAATTTAGACTGTGTTTGTGCTGACTTAAATGAGTTTATATCAGGGTATAGCTGTAAAGTAGAGCAAAAGAGTGAACCTGTTACATTATCATATTATTATATGTGGCTGTGACAAATTTACTTTCTCTTTTTGCTGTCCAGGTGTGTGTGACCAGAGTTTTGGCATCCATGTGGCAGAGCTGGCACACTTCCCTAAACACGTTATCGAGGTTTGTCATGTTGTGTTGTTGAGCAGTTTGTCTTGTTGTGCTGTTGAGCAGTTTGTGTTGAGTTGTTGAGCAGTTTGTGTTGAGTAGTTTGTGTTGTTGAGCAGTTTGTGTTGAGTTGTTGAGTAGTTTGTGTTGTTGAGCAGTTTGTGTTGTTGTGTTGGTGAGAGTTTGATGTGAGTGAAACATCCTGCTAGATACAATTGGACCGTCAAGTGTAAGACTCTGCCATACACTATTTTGAAAAGTGACATGTGATGTACGGTATTTTACACTGATCAGTCGAATTGGATTAAATTTGTGTTTGGCGGATAATTTGGTGTGGTTTGCTCCTTCATGCTTATCAAACATCTATCGTCTTTATCTCGCCTCCCGTTATTTGTGTGGTATTCTCTAGTAGCACATCTAATCTACTTCAGCACTTGATAAATATGATTTTTTTGAGGGATGGCATTTTTGTTTGAAGGAGTGTTTGTGGTGTCAATATTGTAGTATACAGAGTAAAGGTTTCGATCTGTTTGTCAGTCCTCGTTATGTTTTGAATGTTTGAATCTTTTCATCGATTTTATTCAGGACTGCATACATAAGTGTTCGTCTTTTGAAAAACAAAGTGGTTACCCTGTCTTACATTTATTTGGCTCTATTGCCTTTGTCTATTATCTCTGATCACTTTATTTTTAGGATATTTTAACATAAAAGACTACAAAACTGTTGTACTATTGTAATTTGAGTACAGGTTTTAATTTGAAGCTTATTTAACAAATCTACAGGCAGCGAAAGAGAAGGCCAGCGAACTAGAAGACTTCCAGAACATTGGACTTGAATCAGAGGGTCTGGCTGGTGACGACGAACCAGCTGTGAAAAAGAGGAAACTTGCCAAACAGGTAGATTGTTGATGCGTCACAGTTACCTTTGCCACACATGTGGTCTCCTGTGATATTGTTTTAATCTTCCTTTCTTTCTTATTGCTTTACTGAATGGGGTTGGAAACCACAGCATTCTGTGTACCTTGATCAGTCCAGAATAATTTTGTGAACATGCCCGTTTAGTCCAACTTTCCTTTCTGTATGTTGGTGTGCGTACATTCGTAGTTGTTCATAATGTAAAAAACACAAGGGGGTTTGTGGGAAGTGGTATCTTTTTTACAGGTGGCTGTTACAGCAGGTTTGACTGTTCTCATTATTGTATTTATCCTGTGTTTGTTTCGTTTCCAGGAAGGGGAAGAAATCATCCAAGACTTCCTTAGCAAAGTGCGAAAACTGCCTCACGACACGCTAACCTCTGAAGAGCTTCTGGACAAGGTGAAAGAATTCAAGACAGAAGTGATGGCCAAGGACAACCCATTCATCAAAGACTTGCTGGCCAGAAAGTCGAGAACTTAACATAATCATTGTGAATGAATTGTTGTTTACATTTCAGATTCACAAAGAATTTTCTCTCAGGAAACTAAGCCTAGAGCTTACTCATAAGTCTAGCATGGTTGAAATCAGTTTTATAAAATTCCAATATATAGTGGAGTCTGCTCATCCCAACATGGATAATCCAAAAAGAGTGGTAAACTGAATGAAAATAAAATCTCCCTTTCTTTAATTCGTATATTTGAGCAACTTCTATAAACCAAAAACCCTACTAAACCGAAGAAAATCCAGTGGTTCTGCAGATTTCGGTTAAAGTGGGCTCTATTGTACGTGTTCTGTATTGTTTTCATGATCAAATATGATGTAAAGCAACATATATGAGTATTTCTGTACAGTTTGTTAAATGATTGATTGTGGCTGAGGATTTTTGGAAATTTATTTTGCCCCAACATAACATTTCTTCATGAGATGATAGTTTTGGGGAAAGTTGTCAATGTCAAAAGCCAATTTGTATCCGACTTAGAATAAACTTATAAAAAGTAAAATCTTTGTGTCTTCATTTTTCATTTATCAATATATAGTATAACACAGATAGCTCGAATTTATCGGGACCAGTCTTGGTAGTTAGAGAGATCCGAAATTCGAGGGCTATCTTACACAGATAAAGAAGAAGAGAAAAAAGGGGACTGCAGGCACAGTTTGACAGATGCGTGATTTCGGGTCTTCTGTCTTCAAATTATCAGTGTTATTACTGTATCGCTAATTTTTCTTGTTGAAAATTTAAAAATTGGTGATTCTGAAGTTTCATTTTGTAATTTCATGCTGTTGAGCATTTTTGGCCATGTGTTGCCCATTTAGGGATGTTTGGGACAGAATGCACTCAATGTTTTGGTGAGAGTTGTAAACAGTGTGCATGGCCAAAATTCGAAGTTATGGAAGAACATAACTCGACTCTCTTGCTCACTCACTTACTCACTGGTAACTCCTAAGCTTCGGAACGTATTTGACCTGTTTGTGTTCCATGTGGTGTAAAACTTACCTTAACTCCAAAGCATTTTTCTCCCACAATAAATCATTTCTCTGCACTAGTCAGAGGGAATGTCGATACCTGTGCTGTGGATCATTTCATGACATGCTCATTTTGTGTCACATTCATGGGGCACTTTGAGTGGCCCCAGAGATAAAGCCTAGCATGCACTCAGCGAACATACACATAATGTACAGATTTTCAGGTTCCCAAATTCTTTTTTATATATTCAGAGAACATTAATAATAATTATCAAAATTATCATAATAATAATAATTGATATCATTTGTATAGCGCAAATAAATTCCTGCTCCACAGCAAGCTCTGTGAGCTTTACATTACAGCTAAGAGGAAAAAGATATTTATTTTTCCTAATGGGTAAAAATTTGTCGGTCAATGTGACTTCAGAATTTTATCTGATTTATTTTTTTTAACCATGCATTCAGGAAGGAAAGAAAAAGTTTGTATTTCTTTTTAATGGAGGGTTTTTTTCGCCCCCATCGACACAAGTTAGATCTTCTAGGAAGCGAGCTTTCAAGCCTGATTGTCTGGGCCAACCTGAGCTGAAAGGGATACAACATCTCAGCAGAAAGGCCGAGATCCTTTTACTTTTATAATTCTCCTCACTCAAGAACTGAACTAGGTCTCCTCTGTGCGACAATGCAGTGCCTAACTGCTAGTGCTACACCACGGACATTGACTAAGAAAAAAAAAAGAAAAAGTCCTCGTTGATGAGCTGTTGACTCATACACTTGATACACTCGACTGCCTAAGACTGGGGTGAATGAATTCTAGTCTTCTTCCTCCTGTCTTCAGAGGTCTGAAACCTCTTGGATATTCTCCATTTTTATTCCTTATTTTGGATGGGCACAATGGTTCAGCTGTTGATAATTAAACTGTGTGTGTGTGGGGGGGGGGGGGGGGGGGGGGGGGATTTGAACATGCGGATAACTTTAGAATGTCAGATGTACGCCATTGGCCGATATTTATAGTAACAACCATCTTGTTTGACATCATTGAGGGATTCCCACTTTGTTGTCGTTCACGATGGCAACACGACTGCAAAGCACAATTGCAGTATGTATTTTTAAAGCCAGTAGCCTACAGTGGCGGAGTGGTTAGTGCGCTTGTCTCCAAAGCAGAAAGTCCAGGTTCGAGCCTTGGTTCAGCTACAGATTTTTTTTTCGCCCACCCACCTCTAATGGGTACCTGACTTCGAGTTGGGAAGTAAAGAGAAGTCAAACAAGATGGTTATTACTATAAATATCGGCCAATGGCGTACGTCTGTCGTTCTAAAGTTATCCGCATGTGGAATTTGAGGTTTCTTCTCATTCCCAGATTTCTAGGGATATTTTCCCCTTTCTGTCCAGTGCCCTGACGAGAGAGCAAGAGCTTTATTTTCAAAATGACAGACACGTTTGGTAGGTAAGGATGAGAACACTACTGATCACATTCATGAAACATTTCAACAAAACCAGAAAGCCATAGAATATCAAGGGACATAACAATATCATTGCTCGAATGCAACAAACATAATTGGATTTATTCCCCTTTACATTTCATTATCAGAGGTGCCAGATCTGCTTGTTTAGGCCTACTGACACTGTACCTGTCCCGCGGTTTTATGCACACAAAAAATCTAAAATTATGCAAAATGAGCCCAGAAATGTGAATTTTAAACAAAGAATGATAAAGGAAAATAAACAGAAATTATGCAAAAAATATCAAATTTTGCTAAATTATGCGGGTGCATAAAACCCTGAGGACAGCTGTACATGTAATTGTTTTAGTACGATAATGTAAATTTGATAAACTGTTTTACGGCTCTCGAAACTGGTCGCATGAGAGTGCAGGGCATATTAAACATTTTCAGTTTTGGTAGGAGTTAATTTTGAATGTTTCTGTGATAGTGATAGTGGCCGAAGGCTAGAGCTACCTATCGATTTTAGGACCACCAAGAGATCTTTAGCGTGCGCAACTTACACACGGGACCTTCAAGATTTTTTCGCCCTTATCCGAGAAGGCTCAGGGGTGTGGCTGAAAGACAGCAGTAGGGAGGAACCAAGGCGTAGCAACTGAAAGTCAGGGGCCCAGAGGAGGGGGCAGAAAGAAAGTGGAAAATATAGCAGACGACAAAACATGAGTCAGAGAGTAGTAAAGGGGGTGAAAGAAGAAAATTTGCCGTCGCTGTTCGATTTCGAACCTGGGGTGTACACCGTACTTCTCGACCAGACCACAGCCCCCCGCCCCCCCGATGGTGATGATAGTCAATGATAGACTTCGGCGATCATGGTTCGTATTCACAACCTGCTTTCCGTCAATGCTCTCCACACAAAAATATGTAATATTTTCCTGTTCTTTCCCCATTACCCATCTGTAGACACTTTCCAAATTATGGGTGTGAACCAGTTTTATTTTACGTTTACTGTTTACTCTTGTAGTTAAATGGAAGAATAAGAGTTAACCCTATTCGTACGTCGTGTTTTACTATTGTAATTGTATCCATACGACGTGGGGAACTCTGTGCCACCACTTTCCAAAGAGGAAATTTACTCGTTAATCCGATCCGTACGCTTTGCATAGCATTAGCAGTCTGTCAAATGATTTTTTGAGATATACTGAAAGTTTCAAGGAGATCTTCGTTTTAGAAGTATTCTAAAATGTGAAGAATACAACACCTGGGATACAAAATGACCTCATGGCGTACCGATAGGGTTAATGACTCAAAATCAAAAGAGCGCGGTGAGCAGGCGATATATATATTTTTGAGAGAAGAGGAAGAATTTTCAAGGTCACTGTACACATGAAGTTTACGGCTGTTCGGTTACAGTTATACATTCACATCATGGTGTTTCCTGGCGGTTAAATTCAAAACGTGTAGGCCCTACCACCCCCCCCCCCTAAAAAAACCCAAACACACACACACACACACACACACACACACACACACACACGACAAACGCACTCACACAAAATAAAAAACAACGACAAACTGGTCAACCAATAGCCTACATGCACCATATCACCTTCAGCTTTAGGGAAGCTAATTGCATATGGGCTCACTGGTGCGTTCGTTAAAAAACTGATATCGTCTACCGTTACCCCCCCCCCCCCCCCCCCCTCTTCCGCTTTTTTACTTTCTTTTAAAAAAATAATAAAAACTTCAGAAATGTGCCTGTTATTGACAACGTCCAGTCTTTCTCTGCCAGTTCAGTGTCAAGTTGAACTTCTTGTTTGTTCCATAACCGCATCCCACAAGAGTTTTGTCTTATATAAACTACTACTACTACTACTACTACTACTACTACTACTACTACTACTACTACTACAACAACAACAACAACAACAACAACAACAACAACTACTACTACTACTACTACTACTACTGCTGCTGCTGCTGCTGTTCTGTTGCGACTGCTGCTACTACTATCTACTGCTGCTGCTGCTGATTGTATTGTTTGTACGGTATAGCCAAGGAGATTAAAAGTAAGTTCTAAACTCCTTGGGTATAGGGCACAGCGCTCCACAGCAAGCTTTCCAGATGAGCTTTATTTAGGCTACTGCTGTCATTATTATTATTATTATTATTATTATTATCTTTAATTATTATTGTTTTCTTTAAATTTATATTATTATCCCCCCCCCCTTCCAAGCAAACCCCAGTAAGCATAAAAATTATAATATATTATTATTGAAGCATAACAACAACGCGTCCATAGCAAACTTGTTTAGCCTGCACTCTCGTACAGTGAATTAATCTTTTCCAGATTCGAATTTAGTTAAAGTATTTTTTTTAAATTTCTTTTTTCTTACCAGTCAGAACAATTTTTGAACTTCAACCAATGTCCGTCTAGAATCTACATGATAGGCCCTACTTATATATATCTCTACATGTAATCTTAGCTTTTAGAAAAAGGGGTATCAAGCAAGGGGTTCCATTCAAGGAGACTGATATTAACGTACTTTCAGATGTACATGTACGGTAAATTAAACCGATCGAATTGTATTAACGCCAGCTTGTGCTTGAAATTGAAAGCAGTGGCATCAGCTCGGATTAGGCCAAGCCAGAGGAAACTCTTCAGTGGGGGGAGAAATGGGGGCATTCGTACGGGTAAACACGCTTCCTTGAACACTGCGCATGCGCGGTTACCTTTCACAGTCGATGAGAGGCCGTTGGCGAAACTTACGCTAGGGGCAGCAGCATTCGAGGAAGTAACTGTGACGACAGGCAGTGCCAGTGGTCGGTCCTTTTTGGATTATTTCGTATTCATTCAGTTTCAAAAGGATCTCTGTGTCTTAAATATTCAGGAATGTGAGGGCTACACTGATTAGTGCAAGGTGGATATATTGCTCTATTCTGTTCTGGGACAATGTCTCGTGCCAAAAAGGAGGAGTACGAGAGACTCAGAAGTCTGATCAATCAGTGGAATGATGACCACTACGACATTTTCGAGCTGAGTTTGCCAAACGAGGTAAGATTTTCTGAGTTTTTACTTTTTTGTGGACGAACCAGTTACATGGAAATCAAATGCATACGTGCTATTAGCAGTCATTGTTTGCAGAGTAAGAACCTGTATCTACCTGTTGTATCGGAACGCTATGACACAGGTGACACACTTAAAGCGTCAACAACAATCCAACATGGCCGACCTTGACAATACCTGGATCCGCTACCAACAGAAAGGACTCTTCCTTCTTTTGCGTCCGTTAATTTCTTACGTAAATTAAGATGCTGTTAGTCCTTAATCGAGGGGTACAATTTCTTCTCTCCATTATTAATAATAAGTGCGAAATGACCATCAACAATGTGACTAAATAGATTTACCTGCTTTTAAATTTGTAAACATACACACGTTAACAAAACGGAAGTAGGAATTCGAATTGGTCGAAATCGAAATGAATGAGGGTGGGGCAAACCTGGGATTGACGTGAGAGGATGGTATTCCCCCGCATATGATTCATTGAGTGGACAGTCATCTAGGTTTCCCCAGTCGCATCACTAACATTCCAATCAAGGTCCATGTGACTATTTTTAGTCACATGGATGATAGAATAATAGAGCTTTAAGACACAGCAATCTTTCTAGAATCTCCGTTTAAAAAATAAGGCAGTGAAAATATAATGAATGCCTTGTTCCTAAGGTCAGACCTGTACTGTCACCGTCATATTAGATTCTACAATGTAAAGTCTGTCTCTACTCTACTAAAGTTGACTTTCATTTAAAAAATTCAAAATCTTATCTTATAGATCTAATCTAGATATAGAATCTAGATCTAGATATAGATCTATATAGATCTAGATCTATATATATATTGTGATTTTTGTTGTTCTTTTATTTTCCACAAAATATGTCATCACTGTCAGCTCTTGCACAGTGTGTCGAGAAAGCCCACTGAGGGGGTTTCTTCTACCCTGTTCTTCTTTTCTCACCTCCTCTTTCCATATTTCTTCTGTTCTATCTTCTCTTCTTCTTCTTCTTCTTCTTCTTCTTCTTCTTCTTCTTCTTCTTCTTCTTCTTCTTCTTCTTCGTCAACTCTTCTTTTTGAAACTCTGCTTCATAGATTATTCTTTTATAACAGATTTTTCTCATAGATTCATTCTTTCTATTCCTGGGACCTGTGAGTTGGTCTTTTGTCTGTGTTCTCAAACTCATCTTCTTTCTTAGATTATTCTTTGATAATAAAATGTATATTTCTTCTCATAGATTCTTCTTCGTTCCATCCTAGGATAGTTTGAATTCTTAAGATTCTTCCCTGTGATTTTTTCCTAGGTTTGCAAGTTTCCTTGTTCCAACAAACATCATGGCATAGCTTTTTTTATGATGATTGATGATGTATTTTTCCCTTAACTCACTGGGTTAGCTTGTCACTGTATTGTCAGACTTGGAACCATTAAATCTAGGTTCAAATCCTGTTAGGGGTCAGACATTGTCATGATTGTTTCTTATGGGAAAGTTATTTCAAGAATCGTATTTTCCTCATTTCACCCTGGTGGGAACGGGAATGGGTATCCGTGTAAAGTCAGTGGTGTCTGAGGATTCTAGGGTGTGCTGATATTATTTTTAAAAGCACGAACTTGCTGTCGAGCCGATGTACTACAAGTGTACAAGAATGTTTTAGAACTATTGACTATTGTTATCATGAATCTGCCACTTCTATAGAGAAACAGAAATGGTTCATTTTCTTTTCTTGACTGTCAATTTTGAATACCTGAAGCTACAGCAAGCACCTAGCACATCTCTGTGATTGGCCCAAATATAGAAATGACATATTTCCGCCATCTGTTTTTGTCGTCTTCCGGGGCTTTCCTGGCCCGCCAGTTGACGAGATCTCACCAGAGACAATGTACGTAAGCATACACTCTCTCTGATCTCACCGTGGCGGGCCCGCTTTGCGTATGTGTGTATGTGTGCGTGCGCCTATGTGTGTGTGTGTGTATGTACAACTTTGAGGAGAAGGTAAATTTATGGAACGAGAATTGCTGAGATTGTTTAAAAGATATAACACTTGATCACAAATTAATACAACAAAAAACCAAAGACAGCAAGATCTAGTCAACAGTTACTAGCGAGGGAAGCCCTGGAAGACGACATAAATAGATGGCGGAAATATACATCATATTTGGGCCAATCACAGAGGTGTGCTATGTTTTCGCTGTAGCTGTATTTTGAATGGTTTTGATTAATTTGATGGTCCTGGCCGTATAATATTATAATAACTTCAAAGAACAAAAAGGTTTTAAATACTACTTTTCTCAAGAGAAGTGATGTGTTAAGATTTTTCGAGGCTCCTGTCGTGCCTGTAATAAATTTTAAAAGTAAAATTGATTTGCACTCTTCTTTTGTACAGGACAGATGAGCCATTAGAAAGCCACGGTGTACAGAGGCATAAAATGTTTTTAAAAAAATGAAAGCTTTCAGTTGTGGGACTTTTTGGAGAGCATTCATTAAGGAATAATTCAGTGAGCCATGCATGGTAGAGGAATTTAATTAATTGCCGTTTGGGACAATGAGAATATCTGAGCTACTTTTCACTCCAATTCAGTTTTATGGAGCTTCAGACTTTTCTTTCTGTTAACCAGCACGTCAACAACTCTGCAAGTTTTGCTTCTTGAAGAGTAATGTTGCTGTGATAATGTGGCTTCAGTGGCCTTCTATTCTTAATGACTCTATCTTATAATGGCAAATTGATCAACTTTATAGTCAAGGAAAGGGAAACTACGCTCAGAGACTCTATGCCTATCCCAGTATCAAGGGGTTTTAAAGTCTCTGTCATGGCTTTTTTTACCCTTGAGTGAGAATGGAAGCGTGTCTTGTAATTTTTATTTTATGAAGGGAACTTTTAGGTTTTCTTTTTGACATGGTGTTTCCTTTTAGGGAATTTGTACAGCTCACTCTCATGAGTTGCAAGGCTATTTCTTTATGGAATTGCTCAGTCATCATGCGTGTTTGCTAATTGAAAATTGATAATATTGGTGCATCATTCTGTATTTTTAATTTAATTTCTAAGTTTCTTCTTAGAACAAACACCTTTTAAAAATTTTCTTTTTGCATATTTTTCTTTATCAAACAGTTGGCATTACTCATTATGTACTGAACTTTATGTGGAGGTCAGTTTGGTGATTTAACTCCAAATTGAGTATGAGTATTGGGGGTCTTCAAGTTTTACTCTGAGTTGTTAGATTATATTATAATAGCATTTCATGACTGTGTCGCCATTTTTTTTTTTGTTGCTTCTATTCCTTTGTTTTTATATATTTATTTTGCTTTTTTGCTTTGCAGAAATATTATGTGAACACCATCTCTATCACTATACCTCTGTTCTCCCAGACCTGATAGCTTTGATTGTCCATTAATATTGCCCTTAAAAAAGATAATATTGTTCACACAATATTCTTTTGTTTTTCTTTTATCTGCTGTAGGATTTGGAATTCCATGGAGTGGTGAGATTTTTCTTTCAAGGTGCGGTTGGTGCTAACGTGATTACAAAATGTATCCGTGTGGCCAGCACCGCCACCACAAGGGAGGTCATCGATGTGCTGATCGAAAAATTTCGACCGGACATGCGGATGCTGTCGCAGAACAAATATGCCCTATATGAAGTGCATGTCAATGGAGGTTAGTACTTTTAATGTGATTTGTCTCATAGTATTGGACCATTCCATAAAAAAGGTGACACATACTATATGCGGAGATAAGACCTACGAAAACAAAAATTCTAAACAGTGATATAAAGTAATAGCTATTTTTTACTTTGTTAGAGATACAGTCTTTCTTCTAATCACTTTTCCATCATTGGAGTCTGTGACATTTTTAGCTTTTTCCCGATCTGTCAATAGGATTTTTTAAAGTGATAAGCTGTTTTGCCTTGTGACATTTACTACATTGTAACGTCGGTGCAATAATGCGCAGATTGACGAATACACAAACTTTTAGTTGGCGCAATAATAATGGGCGGATTGGTGGAAAAGTGTTAGCAACAAAAAAAAGTCCTCCAAAAAACGAAAATGAAGAACGGTCACTATCATTGCTTCTATATTTTTTTAGGCGGGTTATCGTCCTTGCATTTTGTGTGTCACTTTGGCCCTTGGTAAATATTTCTACTAAATAGTGTTTTTTTACCTTAAAACACAGAACTTTGGTACGTAATATATTATGTACCATCATAATGACCCTCAGTAAAAGTTAAAGAAAGTAATTGCAATGGCTTTGTATAAAATGGGACTTTGTGTGTATTTTTTTATGTTGGGGATGTCAAATATTTTGTTGACATATTTTATAGGTACTTTCTTTCTGCCCACCTGTCTCATCAGTATCTTTCTTTGTATCATGTGTGTGTATAGTGGTTTAATACCTTTCTCTTAAATATGAAACAGAACAAGATGAGAGTTAAAAACAAAGCACAGCCCAGTCTAATATTTTGCTGTTACTCTGCTGTCTTAGGAAATAACTTTAATTACAAGCTACACGCACTCTCACACTGTTTTTCATTGGCCTCTATTTTTATGCCCTTTTCAATTTACAGCCCAATATTGTTCTAGGAATGGGGGCTCTGAATGAAGACCCAATTATGATACAATGAGACAGGAAACTTTTGAAACGTAACAGTTTCACACATATTACATACAGATCTGCGATGAATCAGAATCCAGTAGACTCTCGGGCTTATAAACATAAGTTATTGAATTAATGGTGCGTTCCATTCCCCATGCCAACCCCTCCCCTCCATCCCAGCTCTCGAAAATTCCAGTACATGGAGCTAATATGGTGTCTATGACTATGACATTTAAAGGCTTTATTTTCTTGGGTCCGTGCTCCCAGAGTGGATGGTGGAGGGTGCCCCTGGTAGGTCCTACTTCTTTTCTTTCCCTTCTGTTGTTTCTGTCTGTCCGTTTTTGCTTTTTTCCATAATTATTTGAGCACATCTTTGCCCAATACTGACAGCTGACACACTGCACATTCCTTTTGGTTTCGTCAGGCCTGCCTTCTTCTTTGTTCTTCTTTGTTCTTCTTTGTTGTTGTTGTTGTTCTTCTTCTTCTTCTTCTTCTCCTTCTTCTCCTTCTTCCTTTTTGTCCTTTTTCTTCTCCTTCTCTTCCTCCCCATCCTCCATATCCTCCTCCTTTTTATCATTCTCCTCCACCTTTTCCTCCCTCGTCCCCTCTCCTCCTCAGGACTTACATTCTCAGTATTTTTCAACAGTCTACGAGCTCCCATTGAAATGTCTTAGTAGAGTTCAAGTCAGACTAATTTTAAAAAGACGTATGATTTCAAGAAGGTCAGAATTGCTGAATCATCAGTATTTAAGGGCTTTATTAAAAATCTTTGAAAGATTCAGCTAGCAACAGACCATGTATCTTGTATAGAGCGGGAAAAATATTGCGTTTAACCACTCTGGTTTAACTTTATGAAGACACTAATCATGTGATACATAATCTTTTCACAAGACAATTATATCCGTGCTGTCCATAACATTTTCACAACGTAAATGGCGTGGTTTTGTGGTGGTGGTGGTTTGAGGGGGGGGG